TATTGGTTTAAATATTCAAAATAATCGAATGGGACTTCTTACTGATCATTATTTACGTGTACAAGGTGTTAATGATGGATCAGTATATGCACTTGGTGATTGTGCTACAATTCAACAACCGAAATTAATCGATCAAATTGAAGTTTTATTTACAGAAGCTGATACAGAACATCGAGGAGCACTTAATCTTCGACAATTTCAAAAACTAGTTCAAGAGAAAATTGCAGATTTTCCACAAGTATTTGAATATTTTTATTTATACTTTTAACATAAACAATTATTTTTTTTTAGCTTGAAATGTTTTCTCAAAGTGTTGAAAAAGCATTTATAGAAGCTGATAAAGAAAAATCTGGTCATTTAACAGTTGCTACTCTTCGTTCAATTCTTGAAAAAGCCGATAAAAAAATTCGTGCATTACCAGCAACTGCTCAAGTTGCACATCAGGAAGGTGAATATGTTGCTCATTTACTTAATCAGACTACTAATTTACAATTCAATGATCATGAACAACACGATCTCCAACCATTTCGATATAAACATATGGGTTCATTAACATATGTTGGTGGTAATGCAGCAGCAATTGATTTTACGGATTCAAAATCAGTTTTGAATATGTTTAAATTAAAATCATTATCAGGTCGTAGTGTAGCTTACTTATGGAAATCATATTATTTTACGGAAATGTTTACCGGACGAACAAAAACATTGTTAATATTTGATTGGATCCGTGTTCATCTGTACGGACGAGATCTTAGTCGATATTAGAAAAAAAACATTAGATCTGCTCCATATATTCAAGCAATCTGTAATGTTTAATTTTTTTTTTTGTAGAAATAGTAAATTTTTATATTTTATTCTTGCTAATTTGTTGTTTTTTAAATCGATAGAAGAAAAATGCTTTTTTCAATAAAATTGTTATACATATATACTAATAATTAATACTATTCGAGAATAGATGGCGAATGGATGTGAATTTGTTTCTTATGTACATTACACCAACACCCTCTTGAATTCTAATAAGTGCTAGTAAGAAATGTAGAATCAACATTATATAGAGAAGCCTTTAGGTGTCATCGTTCTGTACGAATACAAATAACGGTGCCATTAGAAGAAGAAAAAATTTAAATAAGTTGTAGATTTTTCTATTGCATATACATTTTTGAAGAAATAAAATCATGCCATCACTTCATGAACTGCCCGTGGAAATAATTTATCAAATTCTTGATCATATTGATCAAGTAACAATTCTTCTCTCAATTCGTAACGTTTGTATAAGATTAAATACGATTACAGATCAGTACCGACGATACCAGGTAATTGTTGTCGTTTTTGATTCTAAGATACTTAGAATAACATGAACATATTTATTTTTATGTAAAGACACTCACTACACTTAACCTCTCTTATAAACGAATTGGCAATCGAGAAGTACAACGTCTAGTTAATGCTTTACAACAAAACAAAGTAACTCAACTCATACTACGCAAATCTTTCTTCGACTACTTATTCTTTGTTATTCATAGACACTCACCGCACTTTACCTTCAAGGTAATAATATTGATTCACAAGGAATACAAGATCTAGCCAATGTTTTAATATGCAACAAAGTATTACAATGGCCTGTCTCCTTCCCTTAATTATTGGTTTACTATTATTTATAGACACTTACCACATTGAATCTTGAAGCGAATGGAATAGGTCCACATGAAACACACTATCTAGCTAATATGCTACAACAAAATAAAGTAATACGACGCATTATTGTACTTTTATCCGAATAATTACGAATTCTTATTCACAGACACTCACTACACTTTATCTTAATAACAATAGAATCGGCGATCAAGGAGTACAATATCTAGCCAATGCTTTGCAACACAACAAAGTAACATGATTAATTTCGTTTTTCTTCTTCTTATTTAATCATTCCATGAATTGTTTTCATTAGACACTCACTACAATGGACTTGCACGGTAACCAAATTGGAGATCAAGGAATACAACATTTAGCTAATTCTTTACAGCAAAACAAAGTAACATGATTAATCTCATCCTATATTTTATTCAATGATTCATTTTCATCAGGTACTCACCAGACTTGATCTCCGACATAATCAAATTGCTCATCAAGGAGCACAACATTTAGGCGATGCTCTAAGAAAAAACAATGTAACCTATATGATCAATAACGTTCTTTTTTTTATTCGATGACTTTCTTAGACATTGACCACACTTTATCTTAGTAACAATAGAATCGATCATCAAGGAGCACAATATTTAGCATATGGCTTACAACAGAACGAAGTAAAAAAAAACATTCCTTTTCTATTTTTCTTCTTAGTGAATCATGCACTTACATTAATTTATGTAGACACTCACTACCTTAGATCTTCAATGCAATCAAATTGGTGATCAAGGAGTTGAATATTTAGCCAATGTTGTACGAGAAAACGAAGTAACATAAACCAAATTACATTTCTTCGCATTCAATCATGTAATTTCTATTTGCAATAGACACTCACTACTCTTTACCTTCAAAATAACCATATTTGTCATCAGGGTGTACAATACCTGGCTGATGCTCTTCAGCAAAATAAAGTAACAAGACTTCTTTTACTTTTATTCTTATCCAATCATACACTTACTATCTTTAACAGACACTTACCATACTAGGACTTCAAAACAATCAAATCGGTGATAATGGAGCTGATAATTTAGCCAATGCTTTGAAAAAAAATAAAGTAACATAATTCGTATAAGTTTTGATCTTAATTAATTTTTTATAGACACTTATTGCACTCTACTTGAACAACAATCAAATTACTG